TATATATATATATATTGTGTTTGTGTATGCGTGTACGTATGTGAGTGCGCGGGTATGCGTGTCTGTCTGTATAGTGGGCCTGTGTGTATGAATGTGTGTGTGTTTGCTTTAGGCGCTGTTACAATTTCATAGCATTATAACTATTATAAATATATCTGATATTATTTAATGTAAACTTGTTTATATTATTGCATGTTGTTGTTGAAGTTGCTTTCTGCAAGTCGCTGTTGCTCCTGGCTCTGCTGCTGATGATGTTGTTGCTTTTGCTGTTGGCTTTAAAGTGGGCGCATGGCTAATCGATAAAACTTTGCTCCACACAGGCTTTCACACGCTTCTCATACTCGCGACGATTCTCTTTATACAGCTGGGCGGCGGTCGAGTTGGCCGGTGAATTGGGATTGGGATCGCTCAGCAGTGACTGAAATGTCAGAATACCATTAATATTACAGTTAATATTGGTTATTTGAAAATATCTAGTCGTCTTACCTGTATGGATGTTAAAATAGCTGACACATCATATGTGGGACTCCAGCGATTCTGCAATATATCCAAACATATGCCACCATCTGCATAAACATTTGGATGAAATACTTTCGATACGAATCGAACTGTTGGCGGTTTATTTGGATATTCTTCCGTAAATTCTATGGTTAACTTAAAGGTACCGTCTTCGAACGGTGTATCGTGTGGACCAAAAATCACAGCATTCCATATCATAATATTATTATCTGTTGGCGCACCCGAAACACCCGTTGGTGGGTCCTCCTGAAGTCTGCAAGTAATTAGAAAATGAAGTGTAAAAGATGTATTAAATATATACATATATTTAATGGTTTAGTGTTAATCATGAATGGGCAGCTACCTTAATAGCTGAGAAACTTTCCTGTAGAATCTGTATCTATGTGGAGCAAGCTTATCAGATATATTGATTATATTAATACATAAGTCACGTAAAAGAAGCTTAGATTAGTTGGGGAATATGTCTAGGTCAGCATAGCGAACGCATATTTATTCTGCACCGTCTCTAAAATTTGAACAATGAGAATCCAAGCAAAACAGGCAACAAAACGATGTGAGACGCTGAACAAGATGCAAATATATTATTGCTGCACATGAGTGACGAATCTTGTGTGGTCATATTTGTGTATATACATATATACACATATAGTATAAATGTGTCTACTCAGTCAAGAAGTGTCTTGTCATGGTTTTAAGATAAATATTTCCCCTTGGAGTCTGTTTTTCCGGCAATTGTTTACAATCAAAAGCTGCTTTAATGTGTGGGTTGCAATTTTCATTTTGTCGAGTTCATTGAGCGCTAGAAAGTAGATGCATATCGTATTTTCGATTCCGTGTGTCGATCTCTAAACAGGTATCGGGTATTTATTAAACCAGATCAATAGCCAACTGCCACACACTGAGTCCCATTCGTTGTACACTGATTCCCAGGCGCACTGTAGCAGACACCAGATACTATTTAGGTCAAGCATGCACACAAGGAAAAGGTAGACATGCACTTGTCTGTGCAACAGCTACGAGCTGAAAGAGAAGCACCAGCAACAGCGACACCGATGTCAGCTAACCGCGCCCTTCAATCGGCTAAATCAATACAAATGACAAAGCCCAAAAATGAAATCATCGATTTAACAACAAAAACAAACAATACATATTTGATATCTAAAATTATATAAATGGTAAAAATAACAAGGAAACAAACAAAAGCGACCACCGATGAATTTGATAAACAAACGGGTATTGCGGTGGGTGGCACTGGGTGGCAGAGATGACACAGTTTCTAATTATTCAAAACAACTTTGAGCTACCGTTCACAACTTTTATCTACGTTCCGATCAAAGTTTCTATTATATTGTTATTTAAATTATATATTAATAAAATAGAAATCAGACACGCACCCAAATCTATTGAGTCTTGCAATTTCTGCTGCCTTGACGCAGCCTTGACATTTACTTTACACAAGGAGGAATAACCCAACCCAGTTTTACTCCCCCACAAGCGTAATGTCCCTTATTCAATCAAGTACTTTCATAGTTGGGCAGGGAAATTTATAAAAAGTAAGCCAAGGGAAATGGTAAGAATTGAACCAAGTAATGAAATTGAATGGCAAAGCTACAACAGACACAACAGTGAATGAAATTCCAATAAGACGCTGCGCTGCTCTGCTTTGCTGAGCTCAGCAGCAGAGTATGAGTCAACAAGGTTGCGAGTGACGAAATGTTTTGAAACAGTAGAAAATCAGGATGAAGATAACTTTCTTTTGGGGGCAAACGGGAGCAATAATTTGATTATGGTTGCTCTCGTGCTTTCTGCTCTGATTGGCAAGTGTTGCTGTTGTTGTTGCTGCTGTTGATGTTTTGGCTGCGACGCAATTGCACAAACGGAAAAAGAATTTTTTACATTACGCTTTGCATTTGTTTTTTTATTCTGCTTTGCGCAGATTTGGTTTACTTGTGATTTCTTTTTGTGCTATGCTTCAAAGTCAAGTGTCAAAGACGCAAGCAACATAAGTATGTTGTTCTTGTAGATACTGTTGTAGTAGTCTCACAAAATAAAAAGCAGTGAAAAAGGCAACGTACCAACATACACACAAAGTCACACTTGTACGCAGGTCACATACACACATGCACAATTTGTATTTTGGCTGCGCAAACTTTTCCACGGGCATATGTACATACGTATATATATATATATATAT